GTCTCATGGGCCGTGGGGACGATCTGGGAGGCCGGCAGCAGGAAGCCATAGCGCCCCGTGTCCCGGAGCTCGAAGGTGAAGGAGTACTTGATGCCACTGTCATAGGCCCAGTCGACAGTGATCCCGCTGGCCACATCTGGATATAAAAGGGCAAAGAAATGCCCCCAGAAGAAAGAACAGGGTGTGGTCCTAAGGTGCAGAAGTATCCTGAGTGGAAAGTGGGCCCTGGGGGCCAAACCCCAACTCACCCCAGACAACACCACGCCTTCTGACCCCAGCGTCAACCTGGGCCACACCCTGCCCCCCCTCCCCATTCTCTGCCCCAGCAAAAAAAAAGCTCCTTGAGGCCACCAAGGAGCGTTCCTTCAAGAAGGATCTTCTCCTTCAAGGAACACCACAGTAAGCCAGACATTGGGAACCAGGCATTAATTAATGCTGCAAAGAAAGAGTTGCCTGTTTCTGGGGACCACCACTCACCCCTCTATTCAGATGTGGACGGCAGCTCTGACCCCGCTCAGTTAGATCTACGGCACTGCCCTGTGGCCAACCAGCCCTGCCAGTCAGCAAACAGCCTGCACCTGCCCAACCCCAGGTGGATGTGGGGCCTAGAGCAGCACCCGGGGAAGGCTCACTCACAGAGGGTGCTGCTGATGCTGCCACAAATGTACTCGATCCCGTGGACCTCATACAGGGCCTGCGCTGCGTCCTTGGCAAGACTGTACTGAGAGATTGCATCCAGAGGGTGAGAGGTTGGGGCTCCCCACGCTCCCACACCCTCATCAGCCGCTGAGAAACCCAGAAGTTGAATGTGCAGATGGCTCTCACGAGAAGGGAGCACAGCCCCTCTGGCTTTGAACTTGACCACATGTGAGAACAACAAGCTCTCCCCCTCCTCCCCACCATGGGGTCAACTGGTCCAGACCCTTGTTTCAGAGTGAGGGCCTGAACCTCTGGCGGTCTGCCTGATGCCTCCCCCAAGCCCCAAGCAGCCAATCTCACCAACTCCTTCTGGTTTGGAACCGGCTCCAGTGAGTGGCCATAAGGGTACATGAGCATCTGAGAGTAGCTGTGAATGGAGATCAGAGCCTTGATGTTCCCATGGGCAGTGATGAAGTCCACAATGGCCGCCACCTCTGGCTCCGACTGAGGGGAGGGCCCACGATAAGTCTCTGAGCAGGGGTTGTCATTAGAACCATTTCCTGGAAGAAAAATAAAACCATCCAGAGGGTTCGAATTCCCAGGTTTGGGAAAGACACTTAACGCTCACAAAATATCCAGGTATTCCTCTACATCTCCCAGCCTCCTTTGCAGTTTGTTTGGGGTCATGTGACTACTTCTGACCAATGAGAATGTGAGCAGTAATGATGGGTCACTTCTAGTTTGAGGCTGTTAAGAGCAGGCATGACTTCTCCACAGTCTCTTCTGTCTATGTGGTTGGGAGCAAAAAACTCTAGATGGAGGAAGCATTCTGGATCCCTCTGTCACAGTTGGGAGAAAGCTGCCAAGGAGAGTCACCTACCCACGTTGGACTTCGTGTGCCTGAAAAATAAACTTTTACTGTGTTCAGCCACTGAGATTTGGATGGCATTTATCACTGCTGCACACCCTAGTCTAATACATCAGAGGAGTGCATTCACACCATGACTCAGCAACTCCGTGGGCCTTCTAGAGAGCTCCCTTGGCTTGTCCTTTGCTTAAGTCCTGACCAAGGACTTAGAAAAGTGGGACTGCCTTCAGAGGAAACCCTAGGTCTCCAACCCTGGCTTCCCCGACAAGCGGCGATCCCTTTGAGCTGACCCCTCTCTGCCAACTGTCCACTGCCATGCCGAAGGCTTAGGTCAGTTGAGTGCTCAGACTGAGTATCTGCTCAAGCTTTGCCACAACCGTGGCCCCAGAAGCAACATGGACTTGGGGCCAGGAAAAGAGAATAGAGCCCCATAGCTGCCTGAGACTGGTCTGGGAGCCACAGATGTAAAGAGCCTTTGACAATTCTTCTTGGGGACCTCAGTTAGGGGAGAGGAGCTGAACTTCTATTTTGTTCACAAATTTAATTGGTTCCCATCTCCTAGATTCTTTGCTCTCCATCTCTTTCCTTCCTCTTACCCTCTTCTTGTGTCTTCTTCCCTTCCCCAAGGGCCATGTCATGGAGGGCTGGGCTGTGGGCTGGTCAAGATTTGTGGGTTAGGAACACATTTGGAAAGAGCCATCCCAGTTCCTCCTCTCATTCCTCCCTGAAATGACTGCATACAAGCCTGAGGCCAAGGTCAGGGGTCATCCCAACTTCTGAAGCCTCCTGAGGATGCCAGAGTGCTCCCCTAGACCCTCAGGGCAGTGCGCTGGCTGGAGGGCTGGGGGGCTGGCCCAGGGACTGGTTGAGATGCTGTGCTAGGCTTGGAGCAAACCAGTGCTCTCCGGGGAGTGCAGGTGAGGGCAGCATGAGTGGGAGGGATGGTCTACAGATGACTCATTATGCAGCAATTAAATTAAGGCAATGATAAAACCATCAACAAAATCTTCCCGCCTGAGTCACCAACCCAGGCACACACTATTTCTGTCCGCAGGCAGGCCCAGAGGCGGTTCTGTCACCGGGGAGTGCGTCCCCCCTTGGTCTGCTGGGTCCCGCCTGGGGTAGGGACCAGGGCTAGAAGGGGATGTGTCTGCAGGAAGCGAGGGTGAGGAGCAGCCCCACAGGCTGGACAGTGGCCCTGTTTGTTGTGTCTGCCGGGAGCTTCTGCACCTGCTCCACTTGATGAATGACAAACAGCAACAGATGAGCAGAGCGGGGGAGGCTGAGAGCTTTGTCTGCGTTTGCAGCCCACGCAGGGAAAGCGGTTCCCCTGCCAACGACCAGGTGGCTTTGCCCAAATATGGAGAAACACTTCAGACCATTAGTTCTGGTTTGAGCTAAGCAGCATAAACTAATCTTCCCCGGACCAAATGGGAATTAGCTGCCTGCCTCTCTCTGACGTTCACAGGCCAAGTCCGCTGAGCCTGCCTGTGTCACAAGCACCTGCGAATGGATTCATTAGCTATTTATTTTTCCTTCTCTGAAACTGTAATTTGTAGCAAAGGGAAATCTCTGGAAGGACATGGTAAATTATTAAAAGCAGTAATCTCTGGGTAGTGGGATTATGGGAGTTTTTTGTCCCCTCTGGGCTTTTTTTTTTCCCATACATTTTTTTTATATTGTGTATATACTGATTCCTCCCCCCTCCTGCCCCCTGTGGAGAAACACACAAAAGTTATTTTCCTTAAGAGATGATTTGTCTTTCTGCTAGCCAGCTTATCTTGGGGTCCGTGGGCACTCGCTTCAGCCGGTTCCGAGGGGCCCACATGGATGCCCACTCGGGGCAAGTGTCTGGTCATTTGGAGGTGAAAACACCCATTTTTACACGGTTGTGTTCCCTTACACAAGCAGCTACACACACAGCACCAGATTCTCAGACAACCCCCCCACACACACACCACGGGCTGAGAGCCTTGCTCTGGATGCTTCAGATGCTGATTTTTTCTTTTTTTCTTTTTAAGATTTTATTTATTTATTCATGAGAGACAGAGAGAGAGAGAGAGGCAGAGGGAGAAGCAGGCTCCCAAGGAGCAGGGAGCCCGATGTGGGACTCGATCCCAGGACCCTGGGATCATGACCTGAGCCGAAGGCAGACGCTTAACCATCTGAGCCACCCAGGCGCCCAGATGCTGATTTTTTCAATGAGAACCAACTGAAAGAAGCCAGATTTTCAAAGTGATGGGAAGATCTAGAATGTTCTATCTCATTGGTTTGGCCTCCCATCTGTGGATCTGCTTTTCAATAGCAATGACACTGTCTCCTTGGAGCCAAACTCCGACCCCCCACCCCACCCCAGTATAGTGGGTGCCACATCTGGAGCCTGAAGGCTGGGCCCATGCAACCTGTCCTGGCTAGACCTAGCATCCCACCCAACAAATTGCTGCATTCCCAGGATCCACATAATGGTCTCTAGGTTTTCTGGAGGCCTCAGTTTCCCCATCTAGTCCCTATTCTCCTGGTATGGTAAGGGAAATAATCCGGAATAACACCAAGGAACTTGGGAGGAAGCTGCCCACCTCTGCCTAGAACAATATGACCCTGCAGACATGCACCAGCCCATCAGCCCAGGATTACAAAGCAACTAAGTCAAAAAATAAAAACCAGGCTCAAGTCAGAGTTGATGATAAGAAAGTGGCTTATTCTATATTAAAACTATTGTTCTGGCCTCCCCAAAGGGCAAATTTCAGGTCCTGGCTCTCAGGAAATGAGTTTGGAGGCATTTTCTTTTGGTGGGCTCCCTACAAGGGCTAGAGCGATTTGGGGGGGGGGGAGGGCATAAAAACTGAGTTTTGAGCAACCAGCAAGCCCATCTTGTGTCTCTTGAAGGTACAACCTGAAGACTATCTGTACCTTCCCCTCCCATGTTTAGGATTTGGCCCCCGCAGTCCGCTCCCCGTGCAAGTAGCTGGTTCCCGTGTTTCCCACGGTGCCCGCACATATGCATATGCTGACCACGCATGCGCAGCCTCTCCCCGTATCGCACAGCCAATCCCAGGCATGTGCTTGCCTGTCCCCGGCCATGACTCGCTTGCATTAGCTAACTACCCCGTCTCCCGAGGTATGCGTCCACATAACCTGACTGTGTGGGAGACGTGCCAAGGACCAAGTCCTCCTCCCGCCCTGCCCCCAAGTCCAGCAGACTGCCATACCTCCAAAGCCTGACTTCCAGTTCCTGTTAAGATCCACGCCAATGCAGAAGATTCCAGGTCTGGTGGACTTGTTCTTCCGCCACAGGCGGTTCTGAAAAAGCCCAGGGCAGGTGACATTCACCCCTTCCCCAGGGGTGGGAGCCTCTGACATCCCGGCCTAGGAAGGCGGGTCTGGCGGGACAGAGAGTGGCAAAAGGAAGGAATCTCTAGGGCAGGCTGCGGCTGGCATGAGGATGGGCCAGGACGGCAGATCACCTTGTGGCTAAAGCCAGGATGTGGGGAGAGGCCCGAGGACAGGCGCAGGCTGCCGGCAGTGGCCTTCCGGGGCAGCAGGACAGGGGCGGAAGGGCAAGAGCCATAGCTGACCCGAGCCACCCGCCAGCCCCCAGGGAACCTCAGCTCAGCTTCCCAAAGCTGCAGCGACCTTTCCTGCATCCGCCCCCCCCACCCCCCCCACCCCCGCCAGAGCTGACCCTGACCCTTACCCCTCTCCCTCCCTCCCAAATGCCCTCACCATGCTGTGGGTAAATGCAAAGCCATCAGGGTTGGTGACAATCTCCATGAAGATGTCCATGGCGTTCAGTATGTTTGTCAGGGTGCTGTCTTTGCCATATTCACTGACAATCTGCAAGGGAGGGCAGAGTGGGGCCAGGGGAGGGTTGGGAGGGATGGGGGGCGCTGCCGGGCTCTGCTCTAAGGTGGGTCAGGGCATTTGCACAGCCAGTGGCTGCAGGCAGGGGTGGCCATCAAGCCGTCAGATACATTCTTTGTGCAGAATGAAAGGCTTGGATTTTAAACAACCAGGAGGCAGAGGCTGGGTGTGGGCACTGTGCTAAGAAGGGCAGAGCTCACGGCAAGTGTTCCAAAGGACAGGAGGGGAGGGAGCCCCTGCGTTTAAACAAACCCAGTATAAATTTTCAACTGGAGACACCCCGAAATAGTCAAGTAGTCCCCACCCCTGCCCCACCCCCATCGTCTGCGCTGACCTTCTTGGCAGTCCAAATGCCAGTGGCGTGGGTGATCCACTCCCGGGAGTGGATTCCAGTGTCGATCCAGATGGCCCGGCGCTGAGAACCTCCAGTGCTGAACTGGGTAAAAGCACAAGGTCCCAAACAAGTTTGAACTGAGACAGCTGCAGGGCTGTCCCTAGGCTCCCAGGAGCAGGCCCCAGAGGTCTCCGCACCGCCTGGGGTGGCGCTCTGGGCCCAGGAGGGGGACTGAATGCGCAGGTACTTGTGCGAGTCCACGAAGTGTGGGGGCCCTGGGACGCAGTGGGGCACGTGCACATGGGGGAGCCGAGTGATCCAGCCAGAAGCACAGAGCTTCCTTCGACTAGTGTTTCTCAAACTTTAAAGGGCACATGAATCCCCCAGGATCTCACTACCATGCAGACTCTCTGTCAGCAGGTGTAGGGAGGGGTCCAGGGTTGGGCATTTCTGCCAAGCTCCTGGGGATGCTGCTGCAGGTGCCAGGACCACACTCTGTGTAGTAAGGTCTCAGACAACATTAAAGGGAGAACACGCACAGCCCCCGGGGGAAATCAAGGCAGGGATAGAGGAGGTCACATCCCAAGGGAGAGGAGGACACTTGGCCCTTTGGAAGAGTCCGCCAGGGCACGGTTGAGGGCAACAGTGCTCGTCTGCTCTGAGAGCTGGGTGTCAGGGGCCCTATGGGGTCCAACCTCCTAAGTGCCCTTTAGGGCACATGCTAAGAATTGTTTTCGGCGGGGGTGGTGGGGGGGCTTCACACTCCTACCTATCCTGCCTCCGCTCATGACCAAGGGCATTACGCTGCCAACTTTGCTCAAACTCTGTTTCCAGCGGCCACTGGGAAGGGCTGGGAGGTCTCCCCACAGACTCAGGCCTATCTGAGGGGCTGCCTGAGCCAGATGACCTCAGTCATTTGGAAATGAGGCCTCTATTTACCTCTCTTCCCATTCAACAGATGAAGCAACCAAGGGAATAGGGAGAAAGCCGGCTCCCCCACATTCACATCCCAAGACCAGCGTGACATGACCGCCACCCTGCAGTTCCATCTCCTTTGCAAACCTCCCACCTACTTCCTGACTGAGGATATGCCAGGTCATCGCACGGTCGCCTGCCCATACCTACAAGGGTGGGGCCCTGAACACCACAACCCCAGAGCTGTGGGTCACCTCGGGGCAGGAGGATATACATCTTCTCTGTCCCTACAACTCCCACCCAGCCATGACCCCACATGAGTTCAACCTTATGCCGGAGGCTCTCATTGTAGAGTCTAGTGGTCAACACCACCAGCTCTTACCTTCAGGACAACAATGGACCGATTTTCAAAGCTGTGGCCAATCCGAATTTTTGAGACAATATCTGAATACTCAGTTACAAAGTTGTCCATCCAGCTATATATCTGCAAGGAATGACATCTATCAGACGGGCACTTAGGCAGGGAGGGGCAAACCCCAGGGTCTCCCCGGATATTCTCCCTCCCCCATCCCGCCCTGCTGAATGCTTTCCCACTTCCCTTGAGGATCTAAAAGAACCCAGATGGAGAACTGCCCAAATCAAAGACACCCACCAGACCCAAGGCAATGAGCTGCGGTCGGCCTGGATTCGAAGGCCACTCACCACACCCAGAGCTAAGCCTTCGCGCATGATCACCCACTCAGTCCCCAGGGTCAGCCTGCAAGGCTCTCGCGGGGTGGAAGTTTCTCTCGCTTCCGTTCGCTTGGCCCACTGAGTCCATCTGACAGACCCCACAGACCCTGCAGTGCTGTTACGGTCTTCTCGGCCCTTTTAGATTCTAAGCCCTCTGAAGGCAGGGTTATTTATCTCTGATACCAATACACACTGACAGACCATATTAATCCCTTCCCTTCCTCTATCAATGTACATAACTGAATTACCAAATATATGGAAAAAAAATGGATCTTCTATTACAGGCCCTGTGAAACAGGGAGAGTAATGATGACAATCAAAGAGTGGACAATACCAAAATCACCACGTCCTTTACATGAAAATGGGACCTCAGGGCGCCTGGGTGGCTCAGTTGGTTAAGCAACTGCTTTCGGCTCAAGTCATGATCCTGGAGTCCCGGGATCGAGTCCCGCATCGGGCTCCCTGCTCGGCGGGGAGTCTGTTTCTCCCTCTGACCGTCCCCCTTCTCATGTGCTCTCTCTCTCTCATTCTCTCTCTCAAATAAATAAATAAAATCTTAATTAAAAAAAAAAAAAAGAAAGAGAATGGGACCTGAGCCTTGAGTTTCTTTCTGGACTGGGTGTCTCTGTGTTCTCCTTTATAAACAAGTCACAGCTGGTCACGCCTGCCCTAGCTGCTGTCACTGTGATCAAGCATTTCCTCCAACCGAGGCAACTCTGTTCTACTCTACCAAGTGGCTCCCCAACGTGCCTGGCTTCCTGCTCCTGCTACACCCTGGCACCCACAGCTGGGGCCCCTTGACACCAGAAATGCTTGTGGAGAGGTCGAGACCCCTGAAACCCCAGCCCCAGTGTTGGCTATGGAGACGACACCACCTGCCAGTGACACGTCCCTACCTCAGCGTCCTGCCTAGCAGGCCCATTACTCTGTCCTGTACCTGCCCCGGGCAGCACTGTTGAGCCAGAGTTCTCTCTGAGTCCTCGCTTCTGGACTTCTGGGGAGCTGACTCTTTCTGACAGGCTTTCACCCAGTGTCTGCTCTGTACTCCCCCAGGGTCGGCTCACACTCTCCCACAGACTTCAGTCTTTCATCAGTCTCTGCCCGAGTCTGGAGACCCGGGGAGCCCAAAGGGACAACAGAGCCCAGAGCTTGACTGGGCAGACCTACCTCCTCCAGGGTGTGGTAAGAGGAGTAGCTGAAGCTGCTGGTGCTGCGCTCCAGCCGGCGGGACTTTGCCATGGCTTCTCTCTCCTCATCCAGCAGCACCTAGGAGACAAGGGCACACACTGGAAGGGAAGGGGAGGACGGGGCCAGGCCCGCCTCCCCTGAGCCCTGCCTCAGCTGGCTGGGCACAAAGACAGCACCAACACAGGAGAGCGAGCCACCGTGAGTGTGAGCTGCACAACGGAAGGAGACGCCGGTTGCTAGGTGACTCTGCTTGGCAAGCCAGCATTCGTGCCGCCATTTGCCAAGTGAGCACAGGGTGAGGAGTCCGGAGAGCTGTGTTCCAAGTCTGCCGCCAACTTGCTGTGAGGCCTTGGCCTCAGTTTCATCAGCATGAACACTGGGACAGTGAGAACCTGCCTTGCCCATATCACAGGATAAATGTAATCATGGATATGAAAGTGTTTTAGAAAAGTGCTCATGATCTACTGGTCCTCTAGGAACACTGCTGAGTCAAGGCCCAAGCTGAAGCACATACTCCTGGAGGAGCAGAGGGCTCCCCTGACCCACAACAGCCACTCTACCCACAGGAAGTAGCCTAACAAGTGACATCCAGGCCATCTGGAAAGCCAGCTGTGGACTAAGCGGGGCCAAATAATTATGGGATTAATGTGCCAATGGTCTTTTACTCACCTTCTCAACTGCCTCTCAAACATGAGTATAGGTGAGCCAAAAGCAATGTGCTTGGGTATCATTTGGAGTTGGTACTCAGTCCCCGCGTGCTCCTTCCCACTGACCACAGGGAGGGCACGTACTTGGATTGGATTGCCCTCCTACATCGTTCTGGGACACTTTTCCCAGCTTGGGACTCAGTGAGGTGGGCAGGTGCCCTTCACCCCAAGCTCATACCCTTACATTGGACAGAGACACCCCAGGATTCTGTGCTGACTTGCAGCATGGCAAGTGCCTGGGCCTCTCAGCTGTGAAGGCTGAAGACCTCCCCCCAGAGTCACCCCGGTTTGAGCTCTGCGACCCAGTAAGTCTTGGTGATGCCTTGCTTCAGGCCAAAGCATCCTTTTAGTTTACCAGGCATCCCTATCCTCATTATCTCAGTTGATCCGGTCAGATGACCAAATGACAGGGTAGGAATTAAGTATTCGTGTTTTAGAGATAAAGCAGATTGGAGAGGTGAAGGGACTCAGTGGCAAAGCCAATAAGGGGCAGAGGTGAGGTAAGAACCCAGATACCCTATTCCTAGCCTTGGGTTCCTTAAGGCTGGCTAGCTATCAAAACCCTAAGGCTAATAAGAATAATAAACACATATGTTATTTATAATATGCATGATAGACATATATATGCACACACATAGATAAACATATCTACAGGAATATACAGTTGACCCTTGAACAATGAGAGGATTAGGGGCACCGACCCCCACACAGTTGAAAATCCACACATAACTTTTGACTCCCCAAAAACTTAACTACTAATAGCCTACTGTTAACCAGAAACCTTACCAGTAACATAAACAGATGATTAACACATTATTTTGTATGTTATATGTATTATATACTGTATTCTTACAATAAAACAAGCTAGAGAAAAGAAAATGTTATTAAGAAAATCATAAGGAGGGTGCCTGGGTGGCTCAGTCAGTTTAGCCCCTGCCTTCGGCTCAGGTCATGATCCCAGGGTCCTGGTATCAAGTCCCACATTGGGCTCCTTGCTCTGAGGGGAGCCTGCTTCTCCCCTCCCTCTGCCTCTCCCCCTGCTTGTACGTGCTCTCTCCCTCTCTCTGTCAAATAAATAAATAAAATCTTAAAAAAAAAAAAAAGAAAGAAAAAATCACAAGGAGGGTTCCTGGGTAGCTAAGTCCATTAAGCATCCGACTCTTGGGGGGACGCCTGGGTGGCTCAGCTGTTAAGCGTCTGCCTTCGGCTCAGGTCATGATCCCAGGGACCTGGGATCGAGCCCCGCATCGGGCTCTCTGCTCCGTGGGAAGCCTGCTTCTCCTTCTCCCACTCCCGCTGCTGTGTTCCCTCTCTCGCTGTGTCTCTGTCAAATAAATAAGTTAAAAAAAAAAAAGCATCCGACTTTTGATTTTGGCTCAGGTCATGACCCTGGGGTCATGAGACCAAGCCCGGTATTGGGCTCCATGTTCAGGGCGGAGTCTGCTTAAGATTCTCTCTCTCCCTCTTCCTCTGCCTCCACTTGTGTTCTCTCTCTCTCAAAATAAAGAAATAAAACCTTTTTAAAAACAGAAATCGTAAGGAAGAGTAAATACATTTACAGTATTGTACTGTATTTATATAAAAAAAATTCATGTATTCCCACACAGTTTAAACCTATGTTGTTCAAGGGTCAACTGTATGCTTATCTCTGTGTGTGTGTGTGTGTGTGTGTGTGTGTGTTTACAGAGAGAGCAAGCAAAAGCAAATGTGTAAAATGTTAGCAACAGATAAAAAGTCCATCATACTACTCTTGCAATTAAGAGGTGTTTTAAAATAATGAAAAAAGCAATACCCCGAGCACAGGAAAACATGACACTAAAATGTCAAAAAATACCAAAATGTAAACAATGCCTGTTAGAATAGAAAGATTATGATTTTAAGCCATTTTTAAATTTTCTCTATTTTTACATTTTGGCAACATGCTTATACTAAAATACGTATGATCTTCTAAATGAATAAATAATACTAAAACAAAAATAAAAACCCCTAGTGGCTAAAATAAAGGAGCAGCCATGGACTCTGGCCTCCACCATCCCTGCTGCAGACGAGGCCACCGCCCAGTGACCACCTGCCGTCCCCCCCACCCCGCCCCAGTCAGCTTGCTCACAACCCTCAAATTCGCAAATTTAAAAGTAGGACTGGAGAGCAATGCCTGGACCTCATTTTCTTTTCTTTTTGAGCACCGACTGCATGTTAGGCAATGGTGACTGCAATGTCTTCTGGCCAAACTGGCTGGGCTGGGCACATTCCTCCTTGGGCAAAGCTGGGATTACTGGTGGAGTGAGGGAAGGCTGGACGAGCCTTGATCTGGTTAACCAGGCACCACCCTGGGAAGCTCTAACAAAAGGGACTTGTCTTCTCCCAGGAACCCAACGGAAATCTCAGCAGCCCACCATGACCAATGCGTGCCCTGACGTCACTCTGGGCCGGGCGTGACCAGCTGTGGAGAGCGGCTGCAGGGGAGCAAGCAGGCTGGGTTGGTGCACCCGGAAGTCCCCCTCTGGCCCCACAGGAGTGAAGGGTCCGTACATCCGAATGCCTAGGGAACTGGTGGAGGGCCTGAGGCAGTGCGAGGGTGGAAGACAGGGAGGCGAAATTGGGAAGACAGGACCAGAGGACCCAGCTCTTCCCACAGACCCCCAGGGATGCCCACAGGAACACAGCTCCCACGAGGCTGTTCTTTGTTTCACAGAACAGCTTGGGGGCAAATGGGAAATCAGCACCGAACTGCAAATAACTTTCCAAACACCCTCACAGGCTTGTGAATGGAGACAAGACCCGCTTACAGATTGGGAATGCTCAGCCCTCACAGCTGGGCCCCAGTTCCAAGAACACTAATCTACCCTGGCCTGAAAACTACACAGATGTTTGCTCCCTTCACAGGGCCGAGGGAAGGAGACGGGAGAACTAAGAATGCAGTCTTGCCACAGGCTCAGGGAAGCCTAATTACAGCCCTGTCAGGCTTCTCAGAGAGAAAAAGAAACAGCTCACAAGTAAGCCATTTGCCTCCCTGGAAGCCATAACCTGACAAGGAAAGTAATACCTTGGTGTGAATTAATTTATGACAGGGGTAAGGAAGGATGGGAACACTGAGCAGAGAACAGCACCTCCAGGATGGAGGAGGGCAGGAGGCCGAGGGAGGCCCCGGAAAGGTGAAGTTGACGCCTGAAGGGAACCGGCACTCGGCAGCTGAACTCCAACCACAGACGCAAAATGGACGCGGCTCCGGGTAACAGCGGATGGGGAGCGTCTCACCCCCCACCCCCACCCCGCAGCCACCCCCGCTCTGTGACAGTAGCAGCCACCTCTCCTCATATGCCCCTGCCCTTCTCTTCCAGGCCGCTGCAAGGCGGGCTGCAACCGCAGTCCGTGCCTACATGGCGGTGGCTACAGATCTGGGGTTCTCCGAATGGACCCCCTCCGAGGTCAAGGCTGAGTGGTGGCCCCACTGCCCAAAAAGCAAAGTTAAATCCACCCACACCAACAACATGGGCAACTGCTGAGGCCGCAGATGGCACAAGAGCAGAGAGAGTCAGGGCCTGTAGCCAGATTGTCTCAGGTTGAATCCTGACGCCATCACGGACGGGCAAGTCGCTCATCTCTCTGTGCCTCGGTTTACCAAAGTATTAATCTCTGTGTGCCTTCATAAAGCGGGGGTCATGTTATCACACGCTTGAGAACATTCTTTGAAGCGTTCTCGTGAGGTGTAAAGTGCTTGAACCGTTGCCTAACACTCAGCTATGAGGAGCAGGAGGAAGAAGGCAAGGCAATAGTCGTTCTGGGGGGCGACTCCCGGACTCTGTGGTGGAACAGTCATTACCAGGCATGAACAGGAACTCTGGAGTCCTCCAGAGAGAAGTGGTATCTGGAGGACTTGGATGGCAGATGGCCCCCATTAATGGTCAGTCAGCAAAGGCCCGCCTTCCAGGACCAAGAGAAGGGCCAGGCCTTCTCTCCCTGCCCGCTTGGAGCAGCCGGACTCTGCCTCTCCCTCAGGCCCTTGCCCATGACTGCTGCTTTCCCCCCTTGCCGTCTCCTGCTCATCCCTGCCTGGCCTCCTCCCCTTTTAAGAGCTGCTGCCCAACCCCACCCCAGCCACCGTCATGGCCACTTTTTAATGTCTTCTTTTCAGTGAACAGGTGTTTGTTGAGCACACACTGGGTACGAAAGATATGGCAGCCGAGGAAACAAAACTGCCTGCCTTCCTGGAGCTTACAGTCTGGCAGGGGAGACAGACAATAAGCAGCATAATTACATAAATTAGATAGGATATTAGAAGGTGGTAAGTGCCAAGGAGAAAAGTGAGGCAGTGGAAGGAGGGAGGGAATTGGGGAATGTAGGAGAAGGGTACAACTTAAAACAAGGTGAAAAGGTGACCTGTGAATAAGGTTTTGAAAGCAGTGAGGGAATAGGTCATGCAGATACCTGCAGAAACAGCATTCCAGTCGTAAGGACCAGGAAGGGCAAAGGGCCCTGCGGTATGAATCTAGTCAAGG